AATACATTTTATTTAACAGTCTGATAGCGTGATTTTTCTGTATTTGGACACACTGTCTACAGGCTTTCACTCATATTCAGACCGTAGTCTGCAAATGACAGGGGCAGGCCTGTGTGCACCTGGGCCGGAGGACGTCCAGCTTAGGCGTGGAGCAACCTCACCAGCTCAGAGAGCAGGGTGTGCTTAGGACACACAGTGGTGTGGTGGGGCTGCAGGAAGGAGGAGCCTTGTAAGAGATGACACCAGGCAGGAAGGATGCTGCGTTGTTTGTGTTTATCCCGGGGTAGGTGACCGGGAGCAATGAAAGGTTAGGCGTGGGATCAGTGGCACTCTACAACAGGAAGAGGAAGTTCTACTCATCCAGGGAACAGAAGACTTGATCTTCCTGCAGGGCAGTCATGAGAATAGTCGTGTTTGAAATGACTCTTCTGGAAGGGAAACCTCCAGATGCTATTTCTCTTCAGTTAAGGGATAGTAGGTACAGTCTGCGTAGATCCATTTCAACTCTCACTTTTTATATGGATTTCTCCCCTTTTAAAAAAGGAGGGGGACTTATTTTTGTTCCCCAAACCACTTAAGTCAGAAAAATACTGAGAAAAGAGAGCATGTTCTTTTTTCAGTAATAATGGAATAACTGGTCATTCTTTCTGTTGTTTAAGGAATGCTCTAGATAGGGTATCATTTGGGAAAATGTCACTGAACAGAAAACTGGGAGGGGAGTCATGATGAATTAGAAAAACGGCAGGGAGTGAGGGCTAGCCTTCCTACCACCTCACGTGTCTCTCACAAATAGCTCCTTCAGGTCTGCGTCTCTATTATGTGGTCATTCTCTTGATAACTATGTCACAGTCTACATTCCATTACCTCACTAAAGTAAACATTGTTTATTTTAATTTATAAGATCTTGATTAAGTCCACCTTCAACATAAATTTTGCATTTATTATTTCTTTATCTTTCCAAAATTCTCATCTCTTCCCGTAGCTTCAACTTTGAGCAATGACAAAGGAAGTAGCCAACTTATTTTCTCCACCTTCTTGTCTCAGAAAGAGGAAGAATATATCTGTGCAGAAAGGTGTGGATTAGGGTGAAGGGAAAAGGGAAGTGAATATGGGGCTCTTTTGAAATCTTGTGTCCCCTCTGTGACAGAGCAATATTAGAACTTCCAGGAACAGACTGAAGAAGCACTTCTATTACACATTGAGTCAGAAATCCAGAACAACTGGCCTTTGACAAAGCTTTCCAGAACATACTGTGGAGAAAAGGCAGTCTCTTCAATAAGTGGTGCTGGGAAAAGTGGACATCATTATGCACTGGTCGTTTATTACATTCATGCAATAAACACTTGTGAAATAAGAGTGAGGGGCCTTGTTCATTTCTCAATGGTACTTTTCTGTAGTTTCTAATCTAGTAACTGGCACTGTTTAGACATGAAGGGTTCAACTATCTACAGTTCCGTGCAAGTAGAAGCACACACGACAACGTCTGCAGTCACAAAAATGTGCATCGTTGGGGAACTGGTTGAAGTATGGCTCATCGATTAATTAAGTTCATTCAGTAAAGATTTACTGAGAGTCTACTAGGTGATAGGCACTTTTCTAAGCACATGGGATGTGTCAGTGAGCAAACTCAACACAAGTCTCTATCCCCTGAAGCATCCATGTGCATGAGCTAAAACAGATAATAAATACAAGCAACAGTATCAAACATTTTAGGAAATAGTAAACTCAATAAAAAAGCAAAGCAAAAGAAGAAAATTAGAAGTGTGAGGGTGATTTTGCAATTTCAAGTAAAATCACAGCTATAATTCAAGTCTACAGCTTTGGAAAGAGAGAGGGAGAGAGGGAGAGATAAAGCGCTGGGTCAGCCCCATATTGTAGTGGGTAAGTGCACTGGGAGCCAGGTCACATGGCCAACCACAGTTGAGTCCCAGGCCCATCAGCACATGCCATGCACATGTCTGCTTCCAATCCTGGCAGGATAAAAAAAAATTTTTTTTAAATGGAGGAAAAAAGATTACAACATGATGGTATTCCATCTGAAGGTAGAGTCTCTCTCTCTCTCTCTCTCTCTCTCTTTCTCTCTCACAAGCACTAACACTCTCTGGCAATTAAAAAAGAAAAATGTATACATACAAAAAAATCTTGAAAAAAGGAGAAATATATATATATATATATAGTACACATTAAAGGTCTCAAAGACAACTTGAGAGGATGAAAACTAATTATAGAACAATATTTGTGCATTTAGATAAGGCTGTGTTTGTGCACACATGCATCTGAAAAGATCTGCAAAAATACTCCCCAAGCCATGCTTCTGAAAATCTCATCTTCCACCACCAGAAATCATGGCAGTTGTACTGGATGTCCTGCTTTGTCTGGTGGGTTTTTTCCCAAGCGTGGCTCAGAGGTTCAGAGGGCCTTTGAGGTGTGTGCCTTGTACAGAGGCCTCTGCTTCAGCTCTCCCTCCCGCAGGCCCACGGCAGCAGTAAGTGTGCAGCACTCTCCCGTCTCTCTCCTGGCTGTGGGCTTTATGATTCTGAGCCAGATCTACATTTCAAAGGGTGTTCTATTTAATTTAGAATTCCTAAATATTTTGCAGAGGGAAAAGCCTTTTCAGAATATCCAGTCAACCATATTAGGGGAATGAAATTATTTATTTTTTTTTCTTTTTTTGGAGAGGTTTTTGCTATAGAGCGCGTGTGCTCGCCAGAGACAGAGATAGAAAGCGAGAAATCACCCTCCCCCTCTCCCCCCGCCCCCCGAGAGGGGATGGCCACACCACAATCCCTTCTCCTCCATTCTCCTCTCAGGATCTTGGACATGCACGCACACGCGCCCAGCGTGAGTTTAAGCCACCGTGGTCGACTACATGGGAGTCCAGCGACATAGCCATTACACTAACTGCAGGTCCCATGGAATGAAATTATTTCTATAACTCCTAAAAAGCAGAGGCCATCAGATGGTATGTTGATTAAGGTGCTGGACTCTCACATAACTGACCACAGTTCAAGTCCTAAACCTGGAGTCTTGAAAAATCACTGCAGGTGCATGTAGGTGCATGCTCAAAAGCCCAGAAGAATGGGTAACAAGGGATTGTGGCATGGCCATCCCTTCTGGGGGGATGATTTCTCACTTTCCTTCTCACTGTCTTTCTCTGTTACTCCCCTGGGAGTGCACAAGCCTTGCGGTAAAATTCTTAAATAAATAAATAACATGCTGTATAGGGCCAACAAGTGATGTGGAGGTTAAAGTGCTGGATCTCACATGGCCAGCAGCACTGAGTCTGGACTCAGCAGCTTGAAGATCATGCCAGACACATGTGTGTGTGCCCAAAAATCTTTAGAGGAGACTAGTGGAGAAGGGATTGCATGGCCATTCCCACCAGGGGTAAGTTCTCACTCCATCTCTCTCTGGTGAGCGTTGATCATGACCTATGGCAAAAAGCTAAAAAAAAAAAAAAAAGAAAGAAAGAAAGAAAAAGAAAGAGAAAAGAAAGAAAGTGAAGGAATACTTATTTAAATCAGATTTCTTCAAAGGTTTCTGCTATAGGACACATGTGCTCTCTGAAGAGAGACAGGAAAGAGAAATCACACTCCAGGAGGATGGCCATGCCATAATCCTTTCCCCTCTTGGGATTTTGGGCATGCACACACATGCACTTGCAATGATTTTCAAGCCACTAGGTCTGTAACTTGTACCATAGTGGGCTATGCGGGAATCCAGCACCTTAACCACCATGTCACCTCCTGGGCCTAAATAATTTTTTTAAAGGTTTTTGCCATAGGAAATGGGCACTTGTTGGAAAGAAAGAGACAGAGACAGAGAGAGAAAGAAAGTAAGGACACCGCCCCCCCCCCAGGAGATGACCACACTGCAATCTCTTCTCCTCCATTCTCCTCTCAGTATTTTGGACATACACGCACATATGCCCAGCATTATTTTCAAGCCATGAGATCCAGGACTCGACCCACAGTCAGCCATGTGAGAATCCAGTGCCTTAGCCACTACACCACCTGCTGGCCCCCTAAATCAGATTTTTTTTGTTAAAGAATTACTTATTTTGGGAACCAGCAGTTAGCATAATGGCTATGTCGCTGGACTCCCACGTAGTCGACCACGGTTCGCGTCCCGGACCCGGTGGCTTAAAACTCACGCCGAGCGCATGTGCGTGCGTGCCCAAGATCCCGAGAGGAGAATGGAGGAGAAGGGATTGTGGTGTGACCATCCTCTCTGGGGGGTGATTTCTCGCTTTCTATATCTCTGTCTCTGTCTGTCTGGCAAGCACACGCGTCCTATAGCAAAAAAATCTCTCCAAAAAAAAAGAATTACTTATTTATTTATGTATTTATTTTTTATTTGCTATAGAGCATGTGCACTAACCAGAGAGAGACAGAAAAAGAGAGAGAAAGTGAGAAAGTAAGCCACTAGGTCTGGGACTCCAATAGTGGTTGGCCATGCGGAAGTCTAGCACCTTAACCATCAGATCACCTGCTGGCTCTAGAGTGGATTTTTTCCTTAAAAATCAGATGATTTGTTTTTTCACTGGTGAGCTATTTTTAAATATAATATAGTTATCTCTTAATCTCTTATTGATGTATTAACTTGAAAATATTTTTCACATTTGGTAGGTTGTCTCTTCATTCCATTGATTGTTTCTTTGCTGGGCAGAAGGTTTTTATTTTAAAGCAATCTTATTTTTCTATTTTGGGTCTGTTACCCATGCTTTTGAGGTCTTATTTTCAAAATCTTTGCCTAAATCCATTGTTTCTCCTATATCATCTTTTAGTAATTTCATGATTTTGGGGTTTATATTTAAGTCTTTAATTAATTTTTGTTATTTTTTATTTCATGAGGAATCTGGTTATAGTTCCATTCTTCTGCATATAGATGTTTAATTTTCCTAGCACTTTTACTAAAGAGATTGTCTTTTCTCCACTGCATGGTCTTAGAAGCTTTGTCAAAAATCTGTTATTCGGGTTTCTTCTCCGAGAGAACACCAAATGGCGGATGATGCCGGTGCAGCAGCAGGGCCCAGAGGCCCTGGGGTCCTGGGATAGGAGGCCAAGGCAGCTTCCGTGGAGGGTTTGGCAGCACCCCTCGCCTCCTCCCCCCCCCACCCCCTATGGTCAGGCTGGACCAGGGCAGGGGCCGGGGCCATGGCCTTGGCCGCGGAGGAGGCAAGGACAAGGACAAGGAGTGGATCCTGGTCACCAAGCTGGGTCGCCTGGTCAAAGACACGAAGATCAAAGCCCTAGAGGAGATCCCTCTCTTCTCCTTGCCCATCAAGGAGTCTGAGATTATCGATTTCTTCCTGGGAGCATCTCTCAAGGATGAGGTTCTGAAGACCATTCCGGTGCAGAAGCAGACTCACGCTGGCCAGCGGACCAGGTTCAAGGCATTTGTCGCCATCGGGGACTACAATGGCCATGTTGGTTTGGGCGTGAAGTGCTCCAAGGAGGTGGCCACTGCCATCCGAGGGGCCGTCATCCTGGCCAAACTCTCCATTGTCCCAGTGCGAAGAGGCTACTGGGAGAACAAGATCAGGGAGCCCCACACTGTCCCTTGCAAGGTGACTGGCCACTGTGGCTCTGTGCTGGAGCACCTCATTCCTGCCCCCAGAGGCACTGGCATTGTCTCCACTCCTGTGCCCAAGAAGCTGCTGATGATGGCTGGCATCGATGACTGCTACACCTCAGCTCAGGGATGCACTGCCACCCTGGGCAACTTTGCCAAGGCCACCTTTGATGCCATCTCCAAGACCTACAGCTATCTGACCCCTGACCTCTGGAAAGAGGCCGTGTTCACCAAGTCTCCTTTTCAGGAATTCACTGACCATCTCGTCAAGACCCACACCAGAATCTCTGTGCAAAGGACCCAGGCTCCTGCCGTGGCCACAACATAGGGTTTTCATACAGCGAGAATAAAGGGAATTAAGCCTGAAAAAAAAATCTGTTGTTTGGGACCAGCAAATGGTGTAATGATTAGGTCACTGGACTCTCATGTAGTCAACTGTGGTTCGAGGCCTGGGCCCTGTGGCTTAAAACTTATGCCGGGTGTGTGTGCACATATGCCCCAAATCCCTAGAGGAGAATGGAGGAGAACTGACTGAGGTGTGGACATTCCCTCTGGGGGCTGATTTCTCACTTTTTGTCTCTCTGGTGAGCGCACAAGCCCTATAGCAAAAATCTTTCTAAAAAAATATCTGTTGTTTGTGGGTTCCTTATACAATGTTATAATACATGTTAGAGATGGTGAATATCTCTTTGCCCTGATTTTATCAGTACACATTGTATTCATGTTTTGAAAAAACTCACTGTACTCCACAAATATGTACAATAATTATATGTACATTAGGTATTACAATAAAAATTATTTTATAAAAAGAACCGTATAAAGTAAAAATTAAAGTTGAAAACTATAATCACATATTTTTCATTCCCCGTACTTACAAGGAATACATTGACAAGAGGACACCACGACACGGAAAGAGAATTTTTTGCACATGGCAAGTATCAGGTGAGATCCTTAGGAAATCTGATGAAGCCCTCCAGCATGGAGAATGTTTTCAGAGAAATTATGCCAAACTCCTGCGAACAAATCTGAGTCGTTCTTTGCTCTAAAAATAAAGTCATAATTTTTGTTATAACTTATGTTTTGTTAACTAGAAAACAAAACTATTTTGATTCATAATTTTTAGTTCGACTTTTAAAATAGGGTTGTAATCAGATGTTAGTAAATAATTTACTACGAAACTTTAGTTCCCATTTAAATAGATTCACTTGCAGTTTTGTTTGTGTTTAGTTTATGCCAATTACCCTTGGGTAGTGCAGATGTCCAGTATTCTCATTTGGAAGATGAGGACTCTGAGACTCCAAAGATAAAGGGCTTTGCCGGAGGTCTCCCAAAGGTTGGCTTCCAGCTGAGACAGGTCTTAGTAATCCCAGGGGGCAGGTTCTTCCACTCACTGTGTGAAGCTAGTGAAGGCACAGTTCACACCTGTGGCATTGCTTTAGCCCACCTCCCAGCTTGTTTGTTACACATTTGGTTCTCAGTCCTCTTTTTTGTGCCTCGGTCTCTTACTCCATTTGGTCCCAGGACCTGGGGTCCAGTTTTTGGTTTGCTTTCCTGGCTTCATGTTTCCTGAGGGCAGAAACTCTATCTTTCCTTCAGGTTCTATGATCTTTGCACTCCAGATAAGTGACCAATAATGGGTGCCCTGATTCAAATGGGCCAGTCTCCTTCTAAGCAAACAGATGACAAAAGTGGCACACTGGAGAACATGTCCTAGGTCCCGCCCCGTGACATCATTGTGATTATCTGGAGGTGAACCCTGGACCTGGCCAGCTTTAGGCCTGAGTCAGTGAGAGAGGTGAGCTATTATAGCCTGTTATAGCTGCCCTGTTCCTATTATCACTTCCTACCATTGGATTCCACTGCCTGAGTTCTTGCCACTGACGTATCACATGTGCAATAGATGATTTTTTAATTATGACTGCGCTTATCAGCACTAATGTATTGATAGTTCATAGTGGGTGCTGGGCAATGTTATGAGGAACATAATCCCCATACTTTGCTTACTTTGCTTCCTTAACTCGAAGACATCATATTATGCCGTTTGATGGACTGGATTTTCCGATCACACAGAGAGTAATCAACATACGGCATTAGAATCAAAGTACAAGGATTGGCTCTATAGCCTAGTGGTTAAGTGGACCAGATCCCATATGGCCGACTGTGATTCGAGTCACAGCTCTGGCAGCTTGAAAAACATATCGGGCGCATGTGTATGCATGCCCCAAATCCTGACAGCATAGAGGAATGGAGAAGGGATTGCGAGTGACCACGCCCTGATTTGATGCATTAATTCTATTGGAGGGTGTGTTCTCCCTTCTCTCTTTCTCTCTTTGGCATGTACATATGCCCTCTGGCCAAAAAAAAGGGGGGGGGGAGTATCAAGGTCTCAAATGATCAAACAATGGATATAGATATGAAGCTCAAATGAGCCATAATTGTGCTTATCCCTCGTAGGGATACCTACAATTATGTTCAAATGAGATATCCAGCCAAAAATCATTCCTTGTCGTCTAAGATAGTACAAGAATCTGTAAGTATAAGATTACAGATTCTGTAGTGTTCAACCCCTCTCTGTACTCAGGGAGTTTTCCTGTGTAGCTAACCAGAATGCTTCTAGAGTTTGACATTGATCTTTCTTTGTCCTCAGAGTAGATAGAAATCAAATAACCCTTCAGGTGTTGACTAACAGTTACCAAATTACCCGTTTGCCATTTGGGGTTTTTCTCAGACCACGCTATTCTAAAATTTATGATTACTTATACAGCCTTAGTTAGGCCTGTCTTTCTTTCTGGTCTTGCTCATTGCCTACTCTCCTGCCCTGTTCAGTCCTCTCCCTCACCTCAAATCCCCAGCCTCCAGCCTTCTCCCTTTCCTCTAAATCCCCTCCAGCATGATTTGGCACTCAGGGTGTATGTCAGTTAGAATTGAATCAGGAAAGAAAAAGCCACTTATAATAGAAACTGCTTTTGAAGGAGAGAAGAGTTTAATTCAGAAACTTCAATGCAAACGGGGAGAGATGGGACCAAGATGGTTGCTCTCAGCTTCTAGGCCATGGTCCTATGCCAAAAATCAGAGAAGCCAAGAAAGTACAAGAGATGACTGCTGGTGGGCACCCCTGCCAAGGCAAGTGACAGGGAGGAAAGCCACCCGACCAGCCCACATAGCGCCAAGCCCTAGCTTGCTAAACCCAGACATTCCCCTCTGTACCCTATCTGCCACTACTCACCCCTCCACTTCTTAGGAGCACACTAGAGGAGGGTCTGGAGAGCACAACTCACTCCCAGGCTTCTACCCTGATCCCCACTGGGCTGTAAGGAGGGCATGCCCAGAGGAAGCACCCAACAAGCCAGCTCCTTTGACCTCACACTCTCACACTCTGTCTATATCTTCTGAGGCTCTTCCCTGACCATCACGATTCTTTCCCCCTCCTTCATGCTCACCTACTCTCACTCTCATTGTATCCTCTGGATGTACCCGAGATGACCATATTTGTTTATTTTCTGCCTTCCCGTATCACATACAGTTGCCGGGATAGCAAACTCCTCATACCTATAGTCCCCGCACTGATAGCTGGGGTCCCTGCGCATGTAACTGTACCCAGGTGTGGTAGAAACATAGAAAGGTGTGTTTCCCCCTCCCCAAGTTAAAGAGAGTTTTTTTTCTGACTTCTGCAGGAGTCAAAAGAGTTATGAGTTTTCTCCAGTTATGGAGAAAACACCATGGGCCCACCAGCTCAGCAGCACTAACGTTATGGGTCAGCATCATGGCACAGCAGTAATGTGCTGCTCGGAGAAGCCCGCTCTCACACGGTGACCACGGCTTGAGTCCCCAGGCCAGCCTGAAACATGCCAGCCATGCCTGTGAGTGCCCAGGGCCTGACGGGCTGGAGGACTGAAGGTAGTGAGCACACCGTGACCAGATCCTGTGGAGGAACGTTCTTCGTTCTTCTCTCCCTCGCTCTCTCGTGTCACACCCATGCACGCATGTGCTCTATGATGAGTTTTTCAAAAAGAGAGCACGGATTTTAAGTTCCTGCCGATGCGTTCTCAGGAAACCTTTGTTTAGATGGTGGTCCCTAGCGTCATTTTTGCATTTACATATGGTGGTTCCAAGAAACCCTTGGAATTATCTTTTCAGACCAGCTACTATACATTCCCTTGGAGAAAGAAGTATTCTAGACGATTGGCAGACATAGAGATTAAGAAAAGGAAATATCACGAGCACTTGCAAAGTATGGTCTAATATTAATATTAATATTAATACTATTCTATATATTAATATTAATATTAATTTTAATACTATTCTATCTCCCTGTTCTAAAGCAGGGGCCAGCAAACTGTGGCCCTCGGCCCGGTTTGTCTGTCCCTGAGCTCAGAATGGTTTTCATATTGTTGGAGGGCTTTAAAGGGAAAGGGGGAAGGAGGGAGGGAAGGAGGAAGAGAGGAAGGAAGGGGGAAAAAGAAGTGATAGGGCCAGTAGGTTAAGTGTCCAACAGTTTTACAAGCTGGTCCTTCACAGGAAATATTTGTGACTCTGCTCTAAAGGCTTAGCATCCTTTCAATGAACTTGTGGCTTCTCTGATTTACTAGAATGAAACTTTCTTCCTTTTTTTATAGAGAATTATTTTATTCAAATTTATTTATTTATTTATTTTTATTTTATCAGAGAAGGACAGAGCAAGAGAGAGAGAGAGAGTGAGAAAGCAAGCTGCCAGGTCCGGGACTTGAAACTTTATTTCTTAACTAAGCAAACATTTACTATTATTGTTTGGAGAGCACGTCTAGAAACTGATAAAAGCAGAGCTCCATAGGCTGGTCAGGCAGCGGCAGACCCGGAGGCTCCTGCCCTGCCAATGCTGGATTTACCTCTTTCACAGCTCTAGAATTTATTCCCATCTGGGTGTGCCTGGGAATACGTAGGTTTGCTATAAATGCCCTTTAATAGCACCTTGTTGGGAACATGGCATAAACTGTCAGCTAATGATCGATCTTGGGGAAATTCCAAGGTGAAATTTACCAGCATTTGCTGTCAGCCTGGGGTCCTGCTCATTCTATGAAAAGCGTTCAGGGAGGAGTCCCTGGCCACTTCTGCATCTCCCCTTGCCATTCCTCTCGCTTCCTGCTTTGCGCCCCACTTCCTCTGCGAATCTGCAGGTGGTGCAGTCAGATAGCACAGCCCCATCACTCCAGGTTTCACCTTCATCTCGTCAGTGCAGATCTTTCTCTTGCCACCTGTAGCTCGTTGCTTGGAATAAAAATTCTTTATGGACTCAAGTTTAACAGGAGTTGAGGTTCTCAGGGAGTGGTCTTTCACATAGATAAACGGATC